CCCGAGCTCGGATGGGAGGTCCATAATCGTCTCGTCCGAGGTCGCTATAATGATGGCTCAGCCCCGAGTTTGCCGAATTCCACCTCGGCTTTCCCGTTTCCCTTGGGACTTCGTCAAGTAGATTGATATATTAATGGTACAAGCTGAAGCGACGCCTCCATTAATGCGACGCGATGGTTGTGATTCCTGTCGGCCCTGAAAAGGCGCGCCGTTACAGAACCTTTACGCGTGGCAGGAACTAATTGGACCACGAGGAACGTCGTGTCGTCTCGGTGGGTTGGGCGGTTGCGTAACGCGTGGAACTCACGCGATTCGCATGAACCGTCGGATGGCTTCAATCTCCGCCGTCCAATTCGAACAGTTTTTTCCATTAAATTTTTGAATTTCAAACGGTGCCACGTGGCCTTCACCGATTGGACCGAAATTCGTATATATATGTACCATCGTCTTCCCTGAGAAGCTTTCCCTTTTCTGCGATTTCGAACGATTTTCAGAGCAAAACAGCAAGGAAATTTTCAGATCTTCGTGGAGCTTTCTGCAAGTCGGCATCCAAGGTTCTTTCTCCGGTAATTCTTGTTCTTTCTTCCCTTTCTTTCTCCTTTTTTCGATATGTCGGACTTTTCGAATTCCGCGGCGTTTTCCGGCGAGGGTGAGAGGCTAGCGGCGGAGGAGACGGGCGAGATCGTGGTTTACTCTCCGCCGGCGGTGGATGCGGCACAGCCTCTCCGAGCGACACCGATTACGGCCGTTCGCGTGACTCGGCCGTCGGCGGCGGCGGCTGACCCGTTTGGGGAGATGCCCTCACGAATCCCGGTAGTCCATATGGTTGACCTCGGCTCCAGCCAATCCGACGACGGAGATAAGGCTGTCCCGGGCGGCGCGACTTCTTACAACGACTCGGACGTCGACCCCGGCCTGGTCGAGGAGACCCTCCGGGGTGATATCAGCGGGCGTGAACGGGTTCCAATGGGACTGGGCGACGCCGAGACCGATGCCGCCGTTGAGGCTGCGACTTCGGCCCCTCCAGGGAGTTGGCGTCGTCCCCCTCGCTCGTGGCCAACGGCCACGAAGATGTCGGCCTGGAACACGCCATCTATTTTGGGAGACGTTGACCTGGTCAAGCTGAGGGGCAAAGTGAGCTTTGGCCCCGACATCCAGATCT